TGTAGCATTTGCCCTTTATTTGATAAAAGATTTTCGTCTGGATATTTTAGTATTTTTAGAGTTATTGCCCTTGACTTAGAAATCTGCAATTTTCAACTTGTGTCGCATGTAACTCAAAAAGGATTTGACATAAAGTCATTAAACCTTATGGGAAGGTTGCTCAGCATATTTAGTTTCGCACCTGGGTTTTCGCTTGTGGATTTATCCAGTATTTGTAGAGTTATTACCCTTGACTTAGTAAAAACCGTTTCATTATGTTGTTATTTGTTCCTTGAGTGCTTGAGTTAGAATCAACCAACTTTACAGGAATAATGATCAACATCACTAAATTACAGGAATAATGATTCACATCTCTGTGAAGCTATGAACCTGGGACTTTGCATGTGGATTTTTTTCAGTTTTGTTAGAGTTATTGCCCTTGACTAACTGTAGTATAAATTTGCAATTTTCAACTTTTTCATGCATAGCTCAAAAAGTTTTTCACTTGTAGGCCTGAAAGTTTACAAGAATGTTGGTCAGCATGTGTTCTTATGCACCTTGGGGTTTGCTCGTGGATTTATTCAGTATTTGTAAAGTTCTTGCCCTTTAATAGGTAAAAGAATTTTAGTTTTCCAAAAATACTTGCCCTAGAGTCATAAGATTGACAGAACAGTGGTGCGGTGCGGGCACCCGTGTCCTATGGACTCATTTCTAGTTTTAATTATAAAAAGTGGCATTGCGAAAATGTGACGATTGAAAATTTGTCTGTTTACTGCAGAAATATTTACAATTCGTCTTGTTGATTTTGATCAGAATTGATAAGATTAAATATTTTTTTATTATTTGAAGATTGTTACTCATCGGCTTTTTCAACAGGCATTGTAAAACAAAATTTTCAAATTTGTAATTTACGTCAAAATTTACTGTTGTTGATGAAACTTTTTTGAAACAGAGTTATTGTAATTTCTAAGAAAACCTTCTGGCAAATAGAAAATCAATTAATAAATAACCCTCTGGGAGCAAAATGGTTAATCATAAGTATGAAACATCTTCTAATGTGTGTGTACCAAGTTTGTTCAAATAAAAGCCCTGGGGTCAAAATTGGCCCTGCCCCAGGGGGGTCATTTTTGTTTTCCCCTTTATGTATATAGTAAAAACTTAAAGATCTACTTTCAAAAATACAAAAGAGCTAGAGTTGAGATATTTAGCATGAAACATCTTCTAATAGGTGTTTACCATGTTTTTTGTGTCGCCTCTACGGAGTAGTGGCGACATATAGGGATCACTTCTCCGTCGTCTGTCTGTCCGTCTGTCTGTCTGTTCATCCGTCCGTCACAAAACTTGTCCGGACTACTCCTCATAAACTACTGGTGCAATTTCATCCAAACTTTACAGGAATTATCAGTACCAAGTTTAGTTGTGCATATTGTCAGCATTTTCCGGTTCAATGATTTTTGTCAAAGTTATGGCCCTTTAATAATTTTTCATTTAAAAGTTTGTCCGGACTACTTCTCTTATACCACTAATGCAATTTCAATGAAACTTTACAGGATTGATCTGTAGCTCAAGTCCTTGCGCATATTGCAAGGGTTTTCCGGTTGAATGATTTTTGGCCGAGTTATGGCCCTTTGATAAAAAGGTTTCTTTTTCTGTGTGTTGCCAGATACACAAAAGCTTGTCCGGACTACTCCTCATAAACTACAGGTGCAATTTCATCCAAACTTTACAGGAATTATCAGTACCAAGTCTAGTTGTGCATATTGTCAGCATTTTCCGGTTCAATGATTTTTGTTTGAGTTATGGCCCTTTAATAATTTTTATTTTTAAAGTTTGTCCTGACTACTTCTCTTATACCACTAATGCAATGTCTATGAAACTTAACAGGATTGATCTGTAGCTCAAGTCCTTGCGCATATTGCACGGGTTTTCCGGTTGAATGATTTATGGCTGAGTTATGGCCCTTTGATAAAAAGGTGTTTTTTTTCTGTGTGTTACCAGATACGCAAAAGCTTGTCCGGACTACTCCTCATAAACTACTGGTGCAATTTTATCCAAACTTTACAGGAATGATCAGTACCAAGTCTAGTTGTGCACTGTCCGTCTGTCTGTCTGTCCGTCTGTCACAAAATTTGTCCCAACATGAAATTGGTCATCATGAGGCGACACATGTGATTACTGATCGCTCTTGTTTCAAATAAAGGCCCTTGGGTCAAAATTGGCCCCGCCATGGGGAGGGCATTGTTTTCCCAATATGTGTATATTATCAAAACTTAAAAAAAATTTTTTTAAAAAACCCAAAGAGCTAGAGCTTCATGACTTATCTTGAGTTATTTTCTAATGGGTGTCTACCAACTTTGTTCAAATAAAAGCCCTTGTGTTAAAATTCGCCCTGCTCCCGGGGCCTATAAACAGGTTAGCAATTTAGGGCCATCATGGCCCTCTTGTTTGTAATTAATATTAAGCTTTAACTAGGTCATCTTTTTTGTAATACTGATGTAAATATTTATCATTACTCTATTTCTGTAAAAAACTTTTATATGACAGTTTAAACATGCTTGTATATCAGAATTTACACTGTGCAACTTTGAACATCACGCGCATCTTCACTGTTACAACGTGAGGTACCCAAAGGGGAATATTCATGTTATTACCTGTCTGGCTTAGTTATATCAATTTCTTTTAGCAGATCAAATAAACAATCAGAAAGGGGAGAATATCTGGAAGGGTTATAAATATATATATCTAGGATTTGTGACTACTTAACGGTGAAAGTGGGTGTCCACCATGTGTATTGCTCATGATGCATGATTTGCGCACTGTACTATACAATCCTAAAACTAATGTACTCTGTACAATAAGTATCATTCTAACACGACCCTCACTTTTCCTTATTGAACACAGAAGAACCGAAAGTGTGTATTATTGTGCAACAAAGTCACTGTTGACGTTCCTTATTTAGAATATGACGTAATCATTATATATGTGACGTAACCACTAAAAAAATGAAAATAAGTACGAAAACAAATCAAGAGAAATTTAGCTTAATATCAGTTATGGCAGCATTTATTTGTTGATGTCATGTTAGAATCGAAATATATCCAAATCGGTGATTTTATTGCTTGATAACATCACTGTTTGTCATTTGGATGCGCATCATTATATCACTCGATCGGGCTACGCCCTCGTGATGAAATTTCTAGCATCCGAACTCTAAACAGTGATGTTATTAAGCGATAAAATCACTGTTTGGGACATTTTATTTCTTAAATAAAGTAGGCTTACAAACAAATTTTTAGTATCAATTAAAATGGTGAAATAGTAGTTTATATAGGTGTTGTGATTCTTTTTTATACCTCCGAAGGGAGGCATATAAAAATCACACCATCCGTCTGTCTGTCCGTCTGTCGGTGCTTCCCCACTTCATTTGTGTCCGGACTGTAACTTTGTCCTACATTGAGAGATTTTGAAATGACTTGGCACAAATGTCTACAACATCAAGACGATGTGGCGCGTTCAAGAACCATGTCCCTACGTCAAAGGTCAAAGTCACATTATTATTTTGAAGTTTCACAATATCACAGAGTAAATAGGTACACACATTTGTGTCCGGCCTGTAACTTTGTCATGCATCAAATGATTTTAAAATATCTTAGGCATAAATGTCTTCCACATCAAGATAATTTGTCAACTCCAGGAATTACGTCCTCACCTCAAAGGTCAAGGTCTCACTAACATTGTATTATTATCACAATTAGAATTAATAGGTACACACATGTCCGGACTGCATTTTTGTGATGCATCGAAGGATTTTAGAATAACTTGGTATAATTGTCTACCACATAGAGAGGATGTGTTGCATTTAAAACTATGTCTGTATCTCAAAGGTCATGGTTTCACTTACATTTTGAAGTTTCACTTTATCACAAAAACAGTTTATTGGTACACACATTTGTGTCCGGACTGTAACTTTGTCATTCATGGAAGGGTTTTTGAATTACTTGACATAAATGTGTACAACATCAAGACGATGTGTTTCGTCCAATAATCATGTCCCTACCTCAAAGGCAAGGGTCACACTACCATTTTAAAGTTTACTTTATCACAATTAGAGTTTATAGGTACACACATTCGTGGCCGGACTGTAATTTTGTCATTCATGGAAGGATACATTGACATAAATGTCTACAATATCAAGACGATGTATTTCGTCCAATAATCATGTCCATACCTCAAAGGTCAGAGTCACACTACCATTTTGAAGTTAACTTAATCACAATTAGAGATTATAGGTACACACATTCGTGTCGGGACTGTAATTTTGTCATGAATCAAAGGATTTTAAAATAATTAGGCATAAATTCTACCATATCAAGACGACATGTCGTGTCTTAGGCCCATGTCCCTACCTTCAAGGTCAAGGTCACACTTATAGTTTGAAGATACTCATTCTCTAAAGAAGAGTTTGAAGATACACATTTATCTCCGGGATGTAACTTTGTCATGCATGAAAGGATTTTATTGACGATGCGTCGTAGCTAAGGCTTATGTCCGTCTTTGTCATTTACACAATAATCATGACCAGACTGTAACTTTGTTAAACATTGAGGGATTTTTAAATAACTTGGCACAAATGTCTATCCCATGACATGCATCCAAGAACCGCATCCCTTCTTCAAAGGTCAAGGTCACTCTTATATTTTGAAGATTCAACATTGTCATGTACTGAAGGCTTTTATTATTACTTGGCATAAATGTCTACCTCATCAAGATGATATGTCACATCCAAGACCCTTGTCCCAAGGTATTAAGATTGCTATAAATAACACTTCATTTCACAAGAACAATATTAAGCAATTAGTTATTCATTCCACAGGAGCAATATTAAGCAATTAGTTACTTTCATTCTCTTTTCTTTTCATAATACCTGCATGCTTAAGAAACCTTTTCTGGGGCCTTCCTCACTTGCGTGACAGCTCTTGTTTTTCATGTGTATAAATGTATGTATTTTTATCATGTGTTAGCATATGCAGAGAAACTTGGTACATAACACCTTATTGTGAAAATGGTGATCTCAAAAAAGCTATTGAAGATGGCAAAGCTAGAAAAGATAAGAAAATCAATCTACCAGGAATACGAGTAAGGATAGCACTGCAAGTTGCATTAGCAATACAGTATATTCACACTGAAGTCCCAAATGTAAGGTATGTATTTACTTTCAATGATTTATTAGCTCAACGTGCTCATAGTGACCTATTGTGATCCCCAACTGTCCGCTGTCATGCATCCTTGTGTTGTCAATAATTACATTAAACAGCATATCTGAATCCAATAATTGCACAGTAACCAAACTGTCCTTGGATGGTCCCTTTAAAAGTTGTTCAAAGCTTTCAAGTCTTTTGCATAAGTAGGTCACGTGACCAGAAAAGAAGAGTTTCAAAAAATGGAAATTTAAAAAATCTATTTGTCTGAAAGTACAAGCCATGAGCTATGATATTTGGTATATTATATTATCTTTAGGTCCTTGACCCAGTTTGTTCATATTATGTCCCTTTTGTCCATTTATTGGTCCGTGCGTCAACATTTTTTTAACAACTTCTCCTCCTAAACCACTTGGCCTATTTGGTTGGGATATTCCTTGCATGAAGTTTTACCAAATACAAAGTTGTTCATTTAAGAATTAAATTCCATAAAGAACACTGGTTTCCATTGCACCATTGCAACGGAAAGATATCTGTTTTAATATTAAAAAGTCTTCTTGTAAAAAAAAAACTGAAAGAGCTAGAGCTTAGATATTTTGCATGAATCATTTTCCGGTAAATGTCTACCAATTTGTAAAAATAAAAGCCCTAGGGACAAAATTGGCCCCGCCCCAGGGTTCATAGATTTTCCTTATATGTATGTTGTAAAACTTAAAAAATCTTTTTGTGAAAATCCAAAACAGGTAGATCTTAGATGTTTGGTATGAAACATCTTCTAGTGGATGTCTACCAACTTTGTTCAAATAAATGTGCTAGGGTCAAAATTGGCCCAGCTCCAGGGGTCATTTATTTTCCTTATATGTATATAGTAAAAACTAAAAAAAAATCTTCTTGTGAAAATCCAAGAGAACTAGAGCTTAGATTTTTGACATCAAACATCTACAAAGTGATGTCTACCAAGTTTGTTCAAATAAATGCCCTAGGGTCAAAATTTGACACACCCCAGGGGGTCATTGATTTTCCCTTAATGCATAAAAATTACAGTAAAAACTTAAAAATCTTCTTTTAAAGAACCCAAAGAGCTAAGATATTTAGTAACAACTTCTTGTGAAAATCCAAAAGAGTTCGAGCTTAGATATTTGGCCAGAAAATGTTCATCTAAACAACATCTAAACAACTGGTTCAATTATTTTGAAATAATTTTACATAAAAATTTGAAGAATGGTCTTGTGTCCAACATTGTTCAAATTCTTGTGAAACACTAGCTTTGATTTATTTGACACAAATTATTGTCTGTCCTCAGATAAGCGCTTTGGGTCAATGGCCTACTTGTTTTTATTTTTTTATGTCTTTTTGAGAGATTATATTTAACAGCCTTTATAAGAGTCTATAATGCCATAGCACTGTCTTTTTATCCATCAAGACCTAACTTGATGTATCTAATTCTACATTTTTTAGCTCGACTTTTTTTTTTAAAAAAGTAGAGGTATTGTTATAATCCTGGCGGCATTGCCGTTGCTGTCCGCAAACTTGTACCTGGATCATAACCTTTTTAGTTCTTGGTTTTTTGTCTTCATACTTGGCCACAACAACCCTTGGGACAAGACCTTTCAGTAGACCAAACTAACCTTAACCTTCATCCATAAATGAATTTGACCTTCAAGGTCAAATGTCCAAATTTTGCTTGTTCTTGCTATTATTTGCTGTAACTTTGCCAAGACCTTCATATTTATCAAACTCTGAATTTTAATTATATCTGACTATTGTCAATTATTTATGGAAAGGATTCATACTTTGAGAAAACTAATGTGACAAGACAGACCTATTTAAATTATAAAAGGAAGACTTAAGATTTGTTTAAAGGTTTTCTTTGTTTGCTTATAGAAAAAATAAAACTGTCGAGGTTGCCCCCGCCCAGCAGTGGCTCTTCATGTACTCAATGTTTGTTTACTCCACATTTTCATTTTATATAAAATGAATAATATTAAAGTGACGCCACTGAGGTTTGTTGGCAACCATGAAGGTTCTGGAAATATTTTATACGCTCGTTTGAAAAATGAGTCGTATTATAGTTTATAAAAGGATTGAAACACAAATGACATTATGTCATTACCATTAGAACGGGTGTGAAATATGTATTTCAGATAAAAATACACAAGGTCAAGGTCACTAAAGATGATTAAATATAGAGATAATATTTTGTCCGGAGCATATTTTGTACACGCATTGTGGGATTCTAATGAAAATTCATAGAAATGTTCACCACTTTGATAAGCAGGAGTATAGGACAAAAGCCCTCCCGGACAAAAGCCCTCCCGTCAAAAAGTGACAAGGCGGACAAAAGCCCTCCCGTAAAAATGACAAGGCGGACAAAAGCCCACCTGTGAAAATGACAGGGCGGACAAAAGCCCTCGCGTAAAAATGACATGTTGGACAAAAGCCCTTCGGTGAAAATAATAAGGCGCACATATGTTTTACAGATGTACATGTAATTTGATATGCTTTTGAAATAAAAAAACTATAAAATGTTAAATAATGTGTTATATTATATTAAGATATATTGTTATATTATATTAATATATATGTATGTTATATGTATTTTAATCCATCAAATCTTGCCAAATAATTAAAGGTGTGGGGTTTTGTCCACTCTATAAAATTTTGAGGTGTGGGGTTTTAACTGGTGGGGTTTTGTCCGTCTTCCTTATAACACAAATAGCAACTATCTTGACTACAAGTGTGACACATGTAATTTAAGTTTATATTTGCAAGGTTAGTGTCACTAGAGGTGATAAAATATTCAGATATTATCAGGAAATAGCCCAGATATAACCTATATGTATATCTTTAATGCCCACATCAAAAGCTTTTGTGACAAGCGTATTTTGTGACAATGTTGCCTTTGTTTCAAGAATGCAGATCATTTCTTTAACTCTATTTGCCCATCATTTTTCACTCCAAGCTGGCTACAAATAGTGAAAAAACTCGAGGTTATTTCTGTTAATACCTTTCAGTGCATCACACAATTTATGCAATATTTTCACATCTATCTTTTTAGTTTTCTTTCCTATGTGGAACTCCATTAATTTGTTTTCATGTATAGTTCTTTTATTTTTTTGTTGCATTTTCATTGTTGTGTTTAGGGGTTCTATTCTTCACAAAGACATAGCATCTTCAAATGTTGTGTTGGACAAAAATTTAAATGCACGTCTCATAGACTTCGGATTGGCAAGAGAAAAAAATGATACATCGAACACAAACTCAGAAAGACCTGGTTATATTCATCCTCTAGAAGGCCACGGGGATCCTGTAAAAGAGAGCTTAGATTATTATAACTTTGGAATTAGTAAGTTTCACAGCATACAATATATAACCTTTGTAAGTCGTAAATAATATTTTTTTGGAATAATTTAGTCGGATACATGTTTACATATACATATAATATATATTATTTGGTTAACATGTTTGTAGCGAGGGCCTTAATTTGTAAACATTTTGAACGACTTGTTCTGTTCTTTACAGCATTTAAATTTAAAGAGTAACTGAGGCCAAGTATACTATTCCGTATAGAAAACAAAGTGACAAATTAGTGGAGAATAGTTCTACATTGATGAGTGCCTCTCCTTCCAGTGCCATTTATTCTTGAATGAACAAAACTATGTACTTTTCAAATTTTGAGTTGTCTCTGCATTACGTAGATCAAAGCAACAAGCGGTTGTATAAACAATAGGATTTTATTGTCATGTAACTATGACCTAAATTAAATAAGTGAAAAGCAAAACAAATCAAAAATAGCATGCATTATATATACTTTACCATGAACCATTCAAAATTAGCATGGCTGTAGACTTAAAATTGCACTGTATGAAACATGTGATTATAAACAGTACTTTAACATCTTAACATGTATTTGCTCTTCAATGCGAGTGTTCTGTTTTTATTTCAGTAATTCTGGAACTGTTGACAAGCCTTGGTCCTTTAGGAGAAAAACAACTTCACTTAAAGAACATGGATGAAAATCAGATTCAGAATAAATTGGATGTAAGTTTCCTGCTTTTTGCTACCAGATAGTGATGTGGTTTGACCCTAGGTGTTGCCTAAAGTATGTAAGACAAGAAGTAAGCCTAAACCATCTTTTCTGTTTCGGTACTGTATGAAACTGTGTTGATGAGCCGTAAAATCAAACAAACATACCTTAGATTTATATGATATAGTCTGTATGTTTGTTTTGCATGTAATATCGAAATATTTTTCAAAAAGTAAGTACTGAATGCAATAGTTTAACGAGTGACACCGTCATGAGTTATAATATGACTGCTCATGCTCGAGAGAAAAGTTGATCTTACATGCAAATCAATCAAATTGGTTATTTATTTTATGTTTCAGTGGTAAAGGTTATGTTGAGCATGGCAAGCGCTCTCCTTCATGAGATAGCGTGACACCACAATTTTCATGTTGAAAAATATTTTTTTTTTCTCGAATTCAAATATAGTTCTGGTGCTAAGAAATTGTTTTAATAATTTCACTGTAAAATTATCGAAAACAATGTCTCTAACTTTTCTGAAAAGCAAGTAGGCACTAAATGTATTTCTTTTACCTTCACAATTATTAATTTGTATATGTTCAACAATGTAAATTAGGCTTGTGTATGTAGAAAATTAAAATTTAATATCAGTTTATATTGGAGAATACAACAAAATAGAAACTTAGTTTGAGCTATCAGTAATTAATAAACAAACGACTCCTGATAGAACTATAACATTATCAAATTAATCGATATTTTGATATTTGATCTTCATGTTTTAAATGAAGAATTGATTTTGCATTTTCTTTTGATTACCAGTTACATGAACAAACTAAAATCGTATTAATTAAAGATTTGAACAGAATTATGACCGAATCTGATACAGAAAATTACCATTTAGTGTACGTCTTAAATATAAAGTAAGACAAGAAACTTGCTTTTTTCAATTTCTTTATATTATCATTTTTTTGTTTTTTAGCTCACCTGAGCATGATCAGGGTGAGCTTGTAGGATCGATGATTGTCCGTCGTCCGTCCGTCGTCCATCGTCCGTCGACCGTTCACATTTAGTTGTTAACACTCTAGGGGTCGCATTTTTGCCTCCATCATCATCAAACTTTGTCAGGATGCTTATCTAGTTGATAGCTCGGATGAGTTCGAACATGGGTCATCTCGGATAAGAAACTAGGTCACAAAAGCTAAAAATAAAAAAACCTTGTTAACACTCTAGCGGTCACATTTTTGCCTCAATCATCATCAAACTTGGTCAGGATGTTTGTCTAGGTGATAGCTCGAATGAGTTCGAACATGGGTCATCTCGGATGAAAAAGTAGGTCACCGGAGCTAAAAATAGAAAAACCTTGTTAACACTCTAGCGGTCACATTTTTGCATCGATCACCATTAAACTTGATCAAAGTGCTTGTCTAGGTGATAGCTCGAATGAGTTTGAACATGGGTCATCTCAGATGAAAAACTAGGTCACAGGAGCTAAAAATAGAAAAACCTTGTTAACACTCTAGTGGTCACAATTTTGACTCAATTGTCATCAAACATGGCCAGGAAACTTGTCTAGGTCATTGCTGGGAATAAATCGAACACGGGTCATCTCGGATGAAAAACTAGGTCACAGGAGCTAAAAATAGAAAAACCTTGTTAACACTCTAGTGGCTACTGTTGTGATCCAAAATATTCTGTTTATTGGTCTGAACGTTTGTTTTGATGATTTCTAAGTCGAGTTCGAACATGGGTCATCTTGGATGAAAAACTAGGTCACACCGCCCAAATATGGAAAAAACCTTGTTAACATTCTAGTGGTCACATTTTCGACTCAATTATCATCAAACTTGGTCAGGATGCTTGTCTAGGTAATTGCTTGGATGAGTTTGAAATCGCATGTGAAACTAGGTCACCGGAGCTAAAAATAGAAAAATCTTGTTAACATTCTAGTTGCTACTGTTTTGATCCAAGTATCCTGGAAATTGGTCTGAAAGTTTGTTTTGATGATTTCTAGGTTAAGTTTGAATATGTGTCACCTTGGTAAAAAAATAGGTCGCACTGCTCAAATATGGATAATCCTTGTTAACACTGTAGTGGTCACATTTTTGACTCACCTGTCATGAGACTTGGTCAGAATGCTTGTCTAGGTAATTGTTTGGATGAATTTGATAAGCCAGGTGACCGATCTAGGGCCATCATGACCCTCTTGTTTATTAAATTACAAAAGAAATGTCACGAAAAGAATTATTGAAATGACAAGAAAATTGAACTATCTACTTTGATTTTATCAATTTTATGCACAGAATAATACTACCATAAAAAAGCAAACCTTATTTCAAGCAAAAAGCAAAAGGAGTGCATTTAAGCTTCACTCCCATACAAAACGGGCCTTAAAACATCAACATTTTTATAACCCCACACAATGAAGTTGGAAGGGGGTATACTGGGATCAGCTTGTCCGTCCGTCCGGCCGTTTGTCAGTTTTTCCTTTTTAGCCTAATAACTAAAGATTCCTTTGAGCTACAGTCTTCATAATTTGGTATTTAGCTTGGTCATGATAAGTAGATGACCCCTATTGATTTTGGGGTCACCTGGTCAAAGGTCAAGGTCACAGGGGCCTTGACTTTAAAAAGCTTGTCTGCCCACTAACTAAAGATTCCTCTGACCCACAGTCTTCATATTTGACAAAAAAGGTTGGCCAGGACCATAAGATGACCCCTATAGAATTTGATGTCTATGGGTCAAAGGTCAATGTCACAGCAGTTTGACTAGTGAAAGCTTGTCCACCCAATATCTTAAAATTCCTTTTACCCACAGTCTTCATAATTGGCTTTGAGCTTAGTCATGATTATTAGATGACTTCTATTGATCATGAGGTCACCGAATCAGAGGTCAAGGTCACAGGGCCCTAGATTAAGAAAGCTTGTCCGGCTTATAACTGAAGATTCCTTTGACCCACAGTCTTCATATTGGCACGGATGTTAGCTATGATTAGTAGATAACCCCTATTGATATTGAGGTCACTTGGTCAAAGGTCATGGTCACGGGAGCCTTGACTGAAAAAGCTTTTCTGCTCAATAACTTAAGATTCCTTTGACCTACAGTCTTCATATTTTGTATTGAGATTGGTCTTGATTAGTAGATTTAAACATTTTCACATTTGAAGCATGTAGAATACATAACTTAGCAATGCACTGGTTTAGTAACCTCAGATTTGGCAGGGAGGTTGACTCTAAATGGCCACTGTTGATTCTGACAAAGTGGTATGCGGGGGGTTTCACGCCATGACAGTAGAAGTTCTAGTTTTTTACAGTAATTAAATATGCATAGAAATTTAAAATTTGTGGTTCTCACGAGATTACTGCAATATGTTGGACAGTAGCTTTAAATAGGTATGCATGCTTTTGAATGACTCACATAGGTAATTGAAACGATTTATAACAAGTTATATATATTTATTTTGCAGACAAATGTTTGGATTGATAAAGAAATAACAAAAAAACTATATGCATTGTCCAAGAAGTGTTTGGAGGAGTTTAAATGGACTATTGAAGAATTTGAAACAAATGTCATTAAAGCATTACAAGTATGTTATTTAAAACATTTGTTTCTGAACAGTTTTATGAAAAACTTTTTGTCTTAAAAGATAATTTTAATATTTACTTTAAAGAATTTGATACAAACTCGCGTTCAATCTGTCTGTCTGACAAACCCTTTAGAGCCTTTCATTTAAGCGATAAAAGTCAGGGAAGAGTTACTTCCCTTACCAGATGTCACGTAAATGGGGGATTATTCTACACAGACTGCTAAGAAGGTAAGCTTATTGAAAAGATAAATGCGTAAATACTGATTGTTCAATAAAAAAATTTACTTATGCATACATTATAAATTCAATATCAAGACAATAAAAAAGAAATACAAAATCAAAGATTGAGATTAATTCTTGCTACGGGTAAAACAGCGAAATTTCAATATGAATATATTATATATAATCAAATTTGAATATTTTATAAACACCAATACACCATGTACACACAAAAATTGCCTAATTTAAATTTAAATGGTCATTTTCTAGTTTTCTGTGTTATTTTCTGTCATTGAACAATTCCGGCATATTTGTGACAAACATGAAAATAAGATTACCAATGTTTTTTTAAGTTCCCTACCGGTTTAACCGGAGGGGACTTTAGGTTTACCCTCCGTCTGTCTGTCCGTCCGTCCGTCTGTGTGTCAGCCAGTCAGTCAGTCCGTCCGTCCACAAAACTGGTTACCGCGATAACTTGAAAAGTACTGAAAATATTTTTATGAAACTTGATATATGGATAGATGGCAGTATGGAGATTATGCACGTCTCTTTCTGTTCTTCCTATGTTGAAAATTCTGGTTGCTATGGCAACAAATAGGCTTAAAATAAGGCAAATTTTACGCATAAACTAGATCCAGTGATAACGAAAAAGTACTGTATATATTTTTATGAAACTTGAAATATGGGTAGATTGCCGTCTGGAGATTATGCACGTCTTTTTCTTTTCTTCCTATGTTGAAGATTCTGGTTGCTATGGCAACAAATAGACTGAAAATAGGGCAAATTTTACTCATAAACTGGATCCAGTGTTTACGCAAAAAGTAATAAAAATATTTTTATGAAACTTGTAATATGGGTAGATGGCAGTCTGGAGATTATGCACGTCTTTTTCTTTTCTTCCTATATTGAAAATTCTGGTTGCATTGGCAACACATAGACTGAAAATATGGCTAATTTTACACATAAACTGAATCCAGTGATAACTCAAACTGGAAATATTCCGAGGAATCACTTTGTTTCCAGAATTTCTTATGAACCTTGACCTATGGGTAGATGGCGTTCTGGAGATAATGCATGTCTTATCTTTTTTTCCTATTTTGAAAAAATATTTGTTGCCTTGGGCTTAAAAAACATGGCAAATAAAACAATATTTGTGATTACTCAAAAAGAGCTGAAAATTTTTATAAAATTGCATCTTTAATTCAAGAGTTTTCTCCTCTTTAAGAATTTTGCTTTAAAATGTTATGTTTTGGTAACAGGGATGTTTCAAATATTAACTTTAGAGTGTCCTTCAGTCTGTCTGTCTGTCTGTCTGTTCATAATAACTGTTTCCTGTGATCACTTTTAAAGAACTTTTCCAACAAATAGAGCAAAATTGAAACATTAGTGAATGGCCAACGGCCCTTCAGAATGTGGATGGGGTTCTAACCGGTAGGGGACTTATGGATTGCTTGCAATACTATGAAAATTGCTTGTTAATGATTGTTATTCAAGCTTTAATAGAGTTATAGGTCAACACATACTGATTCTTTTTCATTAATGCGTATAAAAAATCTTTCAAAGAACCAGTGAAGAATATAATTTGATGAATATTCCTGAAAGAACGAAAGCCAATGTGCCAATGACTTTCATAACTTTAGATTCGCAACAGACGATAAAAAGATAATTTTGATATTACAAATCTATTTTTGTGATTATAAAAATAAAGACCTTTGCCCAGTAACTTATGTCATAAATAAATAGATTTGTATATATAAGCGCCACTGGACCGTAAAATATCAACATTGTTATCTCGAAGTCATCGGGACCGTCCAAAAATATCGAGATAATGTAATGTCGAGATAAACATATTCGGGTTTGAATAAGGCAGAAACTGATTTTTACAAAGGACATGTGCACTGCATACCTTATGTCAAATAAACTATGATATCCCCATGTCTTGTTTTCATAGGCCTAGTCAATATTTAAGGTAGACCATGGGTAATGGGCACCATAAAGAACTGTAAAATTGACAACATAGGACAGTTATATGTCTTCAAGGTCACCTGTATGCAAAATTTAAATAAAATTTACCGTGTGGTTTATGAGTTATGGATATATTTCTGAACTAAGACCTTGCCATTTGAAGGGCTTATTTTCAGAAATGAGGAAACTGTAAATAATCTGTAATATCATCATTATAAAAAATGTTTTTCTATTGCTCATTGTAAAGAAACAAATAATAACATTCAAGTAACACATTACACAACCAAAATGTTTGGTTCTAAACAAAATGTTCTTAAAATGTATAAAAATGTAGCCCTACCCCACCCACTTTTAACACTAATTTTACCATTTCCCTATCTAAAATGCCTTATTCAAAATATCCCTAAAATTTATCGAAATGAGGGTCTGTTTTCAAACTTTGCCTAAATTTTTTCAAAGGTATATTAGTTGATCATGCGAAATATAAAATACTTTTACCGTGTAGTTTTTATTTTATCGAACTTTGAAGATATCTGGTATCATATTTGTTATAAATTTTGGCATTATTTAACCAAAAAAATACCAAAAATAATTATATAATTAAAATCAAACTTTTGTTCTTCCATAAGGGATCAGAGAGATACATAAAAAATGTTAAAAAGAAAAAAAGAAAGAAAAAAAAAGTTGCCCCTTCTGGGGTTTGAACCCACGCCCCTCAATTTCAATGTAGTTTACAAGCGATTCTAGCCTATTTGAATACTCTTCAAAGTGGAGGTAATGCATTACCCATGGTCTACCTTAACAAAGGAACATAATTGGATGTTTACCAGCGGAAATACGGGTGTCTGTGATAAAAACACATAGTAAGGTTTACTCAGTAATACACCAATATAATAGTGAAAACAGTATTTTCTGGGTGGTTGGTCCGGATATCCTCCCGGGTTATTTATCGGTTCTTTCTCCAGATTGTCCGACCGCTGATTGATTTGATGGGGATGTTGTGAAACAATATTGCAACGATAGCGTTTCTATACTTTCACTATTTCATTTACATTTAGAGTCATAATGAATTGTTACAATGTTCGAATATATATAAAGAATGTAAAATTCATTCATATTGGACAAAAGTCAATCAACGCGCTAAATAGATTAACTTTTATAAAAACAGCTCGACTTATTTCACGCACTATTGGGCAATCATCGTCTAGTTTGTTTTTTACATGTTTTTTTACACGTCTGAACGGAACAGACAAAAAACTATAAGGCGAGATAAACAAAGGATAATAGTGTGAAAATACTGTTGGGGCTGAAATTTTACATCGAGATACTGAAAATATCGAAATAAAAATATCATGATAAACAAATATCTCAAATATAGATAAAGATTGAAGAAAATTGGGACTTTCAAAATTTCATCGAGAAAACGAAATATTGAGAAAAGCGATGTCGAGATAATGATAGTTGACTGTACAAGCAGCATTTGGCTGTGATATCATAAATCACCAGTGTGCATAATTTTTAGTTATCACATTACATCAGATTACATTGTACTTCACTTTTGTTAGTTGTCAAAATATGTATGGTCCGAATTTGGTTATAGATCATACTAGTGACTTTGTTATGCCTTACTGATTCGATACTCCAGAATGACTACCAACTGGCACAGTCAAAAATACGTAAAATTATAATTCAGGTAATAACAAATTTCTGTTTCACAACTTGTTTTTTAAGTGATTTTTTTAAATATTTGATAAGCAGAGTATGAATTTTAAAAGTATCAAGTTGAAAATATCACTTTACCAGCTTTAATTTACTACTCAAAATGCTAAGGATCACTTTTTCTACAGTGTGTTACTTTTGTGTATTTGTAATAAATGTGAAAATTGATTAAAGGAATTTGATATAATTAGTTAGGAATTGATTTGTATGAAAATAATAACAATGGAAGTGATCCTTGACGTGTGCCTGATGCAAAAAGAGTGTGCTGGACGAAAATCAACATTTTGGATATCAAAATGGAATAAAAACCTTGCAAATCAGGAAATGGTTGGCTTAGGGTGTTTAATACTGAGTATGGTGTCTGCATGCATTAAATACGGTCTGGCATCGCCATTGCATGCTGCTGATGAGCCGCCTGCGGAGCTTTTGGTGAGGAAACTGGGCCCATTCCTTTATGAATGAATGTCTTAGCTCATGAACTGTTGTTGGTTGGACGTGGCATGAAGAAATGGGTTCTGCAGTATATCCGGAGCATGCTCAATGGGATTTAAATCTGGGGATCTTGCTGGCCAATCCATGTAGACTATAGTGGCCTCCTCAAGATATCGGTTTGTGACGTGGGCTCTGTTTACATGGGCGTTGTCATCCATAAAAATGAAATCAGGGCCGACTGCGCCATCGTATGTGCGTACATCGACGGCTAAGATTTCATTGACGTACCTTACTGTCGTAAAGATACCGTTTTCAATAATGTGTAGGTCCGTTTTCCCCTGAGCACTTATTCCCGCCCACACCATAACTGAACCCATGCTGGAGCTAAGTGTTCATTTTGACTTCTCCAAACCCTAGCCTGTCTGTCTGTGAAGTCCACAAAACGCTGACTAATCAGTGATGAGGACCAGGGTCCAATCAATAAGTTGCAATCTGGAATTCGTTACGTAAGGGCGTAGCGTTCAAGAACTATTGGCGCCTGGCCCTAAAGACAATAAATCTGTCCTGGGCTTGAGTTGTTGAACGTTCCCAACAGCTGGTGTGGCCCTGCAAGACATTTCCAGTCATTTTGAATCGGTTCCACATCCTGGAGATAACGCTCTTGG